GTTTCAACGGGAATTACACATTTTAATCCTAAAATGAAGAGTGAGAACTAAACAATCTTCTAAAGTGGAGATGAGTTCAAACTTATTGAGTTAATATTTATTACTTACCTATCAAACTTCACTTTGAATCCATGGTGATGGAACTTTAAGAGATTATTGTTATATTTGGAAAAAAAAACTGAGGAAAGCCATAGAATGAACTAATTTCTCAGATTGAAAGCGACTTCCAAAAACCTATAAAATTAAAGAGGACCAGTAAGTGTCTACAATGTTAAAGATCTTAATATATTTTTTAAATATGAAAAATGGTTAAATTTCTACTTTATATGTGGATGAATTGTCACCAACTCGAGGATTGTGATGAAACTAAGACACATGATGAGGAATGCTACGAAGAGATTCAAGAAAAAAAATCCATTTTAGACAAATTCTATCACTGCCACCCATTTTGCATAATATTTTTGAAATAAGTAGAGGATGCAATACAATTTCTTCTTCACAATTAAATCTTCACTTACTAGCACTGTGGTAGTCAGAAGTTAATAAAAATATTTTCTAAAGAGTGGGGGACAGATAAATTTCAAAGAAATGTAAAAACGTTGGAGAGTGTCGTGGTTTGAAGTGCCTCTCTCATATAGTAATTAGAAAAACCAAGAATAAAAATAATCCATGAGCCGAATTAATTACCTAATAAATGGACAAAATGCTCCAATCGATTACACGGCTCATATATAATCGGTTGGAAGTCCCGAAAAGGAAGGTTTATATATAGATTCGTTGCAAGTCATTAATGTATTTTTCTTATTGATTTTGTAATTGATTATAACTCTTTTAATCAATTATCATAGTATTCGAAAACAATTGGCTAGTTAGAAAAGTTTTGCCAATTGATTGACACATCTTTCCAATCGATTAGAAGGTTTAAAAAAGTTTGATAAAGGTTGTGAACAACTTTTTAATTACTTGGTCCTAGCTTAGAAACTAATTTTCAGGATAGAAGCGTTTTGAGGAATGTTTTAAGTTTATGTGTGTGAGTTTCCTTAGTACTCTTAAGTTATTATCTTACTTTTACAATACTGGATTCACTCAGTCAGACTGACAGACATGACCTGGTGAGCTTTCACATCTTCCTCCAAGAAATTTCAAGGTTTTTGTTAGATATTTTCTGATTTTACAAACACTTGATCTTGAGTTCTCTTGCCGATGAGTCATAAAATGCTTTTGGTTATCATCAGGATTGAAAGTTATTACCATGAGTTGTCATCATCAAAACTTCAAATGTAGATATTCATCACTTGTAAGGACATATATCCACACCTATTAATTATGGTGTTACTCAAATGGAGCACTTGATTAATCTATGCTCCAACAAATTTATGCCTATAAGGAGTCAACTATACGTCTTTCACATAATCAATAAATTCACTACAATCTACACATGCATGTTTAAGTTGTTGTAATTGTTGATGATAGTCAACCTCATCACTAACCTATACAACTTCCATCCATAATGTGTCTATCGTCTTTTGTATGTCATTCACCATATACTACTTGCATTTTACACCAACATTTTTGTTGATGTGAAATTGATAAAGAAAATTATTCGTCCTTTGGAATAGAACTTCAATTGCTTTCATCAAAGTAAGATCTCTGTCATTCAAAATCACTTGTGGACACAAATCTTCCTTAACAAACAATTGCTTCAGCTTATCCAATATCCAACAAAAGTTCTCTATCTGCTCAGATTCCATAAAGGCAAATACAACACCAAATGTCAACTCCCCTGACGTCATGCCAACTATTTAAAATAGATGTTGTCTATATTTGTTTGTCTGGTAATTGTTGTCCATAATTAACACAATAGGAAAAATATTGAACAACTTTATTTAATCTGGGCAGGCTCAAAAAGTATCTCTCACAACTTACAAGTTATCTCTTCTTCTACTCCAATACACATAGCCTGCATCCTCTATTAGCTTAAACAGATGTCGTATCTCACTTATAGGAACTCTTATCTCTTTTTGTAAGTTACTCTTATGTTTATATATTTGTGTGATCTGAGGACATTATCAGGATCTTGCTCTTGCAAGGAAAACAATATGTGTCTGAGTGGAACATGACGCTTTGTCAGATCAACGATATGTTGTTGCTCATCTGCGCTTAGCCGACCAACAAATGAATGATCTTCTAATATATCAGATAAAATGTGGTTATGAAATCCACAATTCACATCAAACTTCCATCCATACCCATTTCTCGACAGTGTTGACCTGATTTTGAATGGACAACCACATTTCTTAGTGGCACTTGGTGTTCCTTTATATGTATCCTTGTATTATCACAACCAAATATTACTTTGTTTCTTATCTCTCACTTGCCTATTTCGATATATGAACGAGTGATGATAAAAATTACTTTATTTCTAATTTCAACCTTCTTAATCCACCTTATCACATTTTCTCGTGTGCCAAATCTGTGTAATTCAGAATGCATTAGAGGTATCTATACATATTTAATTTTTATCACATATTTGTAAAGGGATTTCTATAGTTGCAACATAAAAGAAAGTTAATTTTTTTTAAATGACTTCCAAATAACTTACCATTAATTATTTTGGTACACACAACAAAATTCACCAGATAACTTACCATTAAATAATCTGGTACATAAAAGGGAATTCACTAGATAACATTATACAAAGTTATCTGATACATAAGAAAAAAAATATAAACCGGATAACTTACCAACAAGTTTTTCGGAAAAAAAATACAAATTGGAAATCTTAACTTTAAGCTATCCGATTAAGAGAAAAAACATATCAGATGGCTTTTCTCATAGTTATCCAATAAATATTTGTGGGGATGCAAAATCCTTCAAAAATTCAAAAAACATGAATGAATGGTAAAAAGTAAAATGATAAATTAGTTGATAATTAACTTTATGTAATTGTGTATTAATATTAATGATTTAGCTAACTTATAGATTTAGGGGGTACCACCCATACTTATAGATTTAGCCAACGATAAATTTTTTGATTCGTTTTAATTTTTCGTTATCATTAACTTTATGTAATTGTGTAATAATATTAATGAAGTGTAATATATGCAATTTCATATATTTTAATATATTTTGTATTCTTCCAAAACATTTGTTCATTTGTCAAACAAAATACATATGTTTTATTTTCTACCTGGTGCACGAGAGGTTCTGGAGATAAGATAATAGGGCGGTACTGAAAATGTATCTTTGAATCCAACTCTGATACATGAAATGATTTTTGAGGTCAATATTTGTCTACCACTTCTATAAATTAGGGACTCTTGTTTTTTATTTCATACAAACAAAAAAATGTCTCAAATGTCACAAATAAAAATCATCTGATATATCGCAAATGTCTCCTTTTCCAGTGCGACACTCGAACGAAAGTTTAAGCTAATGAGTACACCTCTTTTGCAGATTTGCAATACGAGGTGCTTAATCTCCTACCTTACAGAGATAATTGAAAATTATGAAGATCGGGTACTGTTTACCGTCAATTAACAAGGAAGACGAAATTGAGTTCAACAACTATGAACTCAAGATAGATGTGGATGTAAAAACAATGTGAAATAAATTTTTCTGTTTTGAAATGAAAGTTTTGATCGAGTTGGAAGCGACAATTTTAAGATTGGTTAAAGGTATTGTGAAGATGTTGAAGCGTCCACCTGAATATTGAAATGTAATGTTTTATTTTAGGTTGAAACCACCTATGTAATGTTGATTTTATGTTATGAATGATAATTTTATTTTGTCAAAATACAAGTTTTTGATTTTCTGCTTCTGCTTGTGGTGTATATATGTTACATAGGTGCATTTACGAATAGATTTTGGAGATACTCTGATTTTAAAAAAAACCCAATTACTAAGGCGTCACTCAGATTTGACATAAGTTGTGTGTGATTGGGGTGCGTCCGAAGATATATCTCCAAAATATAGAAGCATTTTAATATTTTCAAATAGTGTACTAATAATATATAGCGTGAATTAAGACATTTCCTAAGGGTCTGTTTGATTTAATCGAGGGGAGGAGAGGGGAGGGGTTTTTATCAAGGGGATGAGAGAGATTTTAATTACATATATGTTTGGTTCAAAATATGAAAGGGGATGGGAGGGGAGGCATTTTATTTACAAATATGTTTGGTTCACAAAGGGAGGGGAGATATTTTAAAACTAATTTACTTTTTTATCCTTCTAATTTTACCATAAAACTTGTGATATTTACCGTTTATAATTCAAATACAAATTTATTGACAAAATATAAATATTCAATCAGAGATCATCATGAAATATTTTATAAAAATACAACGATTATAATATATAATTGGCTAAATTATAGTTTTGGTCTCCCTATTATTATAAACAAAAACATTACGATTATTAAAATTAACATTAAAATATGAAAAATAAAATAAAATTTTTTAACAAATATAACAATAGTAAGATGAAGATATAAAAATACAAAAAATATAAAAAGAAAAATTAAATTTGTTCAAAATAAAACTTTTAACATTGTTATAAGTTAAATTTATTTAAATAAATAATAAGGATAAATATGTAAACGTAATTATAATTAAAATCAAGCACCTCCCCTTTCCTCCAAATCCCTCCAAATCGAGGGGAAGCAAAAGTAGTTTAGGAGGGATTTTGCTCCCCTCCATCTACCTATCCTCCCCTCTTCAAATTTGAACCAAACACATAAATTATTAAATATTTCCTCCCTTCCTCTCTCCTCCCCTCCATTTACCTCAACCAAACAGACCTAAGAATATGGGTAAAATTTTCTCACAATTGGGCCTCCGAGAAATCAAAGCCCATATAGACAGAACAAAGATCAGAGTTTCATATTGTAAGAAAAAGATGAAAGAAAAACAGTTACGACGTCGTTGTGAAGCATAGAGAAAGCCAGAACCCGCCGGAAGGAAAAACAGCTACCACCACCATAGCAAGAGAGTCCGTTAACAATGCGGATGACAGTGGAGCCAAGCTACTCTCCAACTTCAACTCCCAAAGATGAACTCGAATGGCTCCCACTACCAAAACACCCTCTCTTCACCACCACCACCACCTCTCACGACGCTACCGGCAACGTTTCCCGAAACCTACTAGCTTGGGACGGAGCCAATCGTCTCTATTTCTGGGACTCCCACAAAAACTACCTTCATCGCTTATCTCTTCGCCTCGGTGATCCTGATCCTACTTCCGTTCTTGCCGCTTCTCCCTCTAAGGTCATTCTCTCTCTTTCTATGTTTCTCTGCTTTGTAATTTTGAAATTAGGTTTTTGTAAAACAAGATATTAGAAATGGAATTAAATAGTGATTAATTCTTGCAATTTGCGGTGGATTTGAATAGGTGTTGCAAACAGATGTTGTGCTCGACTTTGATGTGCACAAAATCTCCATCAATAGGAATGGAACAGCGATACTTCTTTTTGGTTCTGAAAGACTCTGTGTTATGTATCTCTATGGACGCACATCCAAGACGGATGTAAATTTGATTTGCAGGTATAGGTTTAAATCACTCATATTTCAACCACTTGTTCTCATTGCACTAGGGGTTTCTGATGAATTTGCTCTGGTTAAACCATGTTTCGTTGATTATATATATGTTGTATGTTAAAAATATATCAATTGATCATAAATGAGTTGGTTGTCAAGAGTGTAATTATTTTGAGTTCATGGAGTTGTGGTACCATCTTAGAATAGTTGTATTTTACTTTTTTTTTGGGATTTCCTTTTTGCAGGACCATTGCTGTTGGTTCTCAGACACATTCCCTTGGAAACAATGATATTCGTCTATTGGAAGCGTCATGGCACCCTTACAGTGATACTCATTTGGGAGTCCTTTCCTCTGACTCGGTTTTTAGGTAAGCTTTTTATGTGAAAGTTACTCTATCTAAATTGTGCCATTCCAAGGATTTAAAGCCTACATAGACAAAAACTAAAATCAAATTTTCAAATTGTTCAAAAAAATAAAATCAAAGGAAGACATTTATGACATCTCTATATGAGGCCTCTGGGATGTGTGAAGCAAGGGTGCTGGTTGTTAAATGGATCTTGTTGGTTTATGCATGACTAGGAAATATAGTGGAATAGGTTTAGAAGTAATAGAGTTGAGATATGCTGAACTTTAATACTTGAGAAACCACACATAATGTTATGAGGAAGGAAAGGTCAGTTTGATATCGTAATTTTATATGTAACAAAATATTATAAGATATGTCCTACACTCTTAGAAGTATTTTAGTGGTATGATCTGTGTTGATATCAGATGATAACAAGACTACTTGACATGCCCTCTAATTATATGAATCTATTCTGAAAAATATTACACCCAACTATTAGCTTATATCTCTGATTGCTAAAGATTCTTTTTGCTTATGCCTGCTAGTAAAACTTTATCATGGCATATTAACATATTTTTAATTTTTTCTTTTTTTGGCTTTTTATTAGATTTTTCTCCTTATTCTTAAAATGTCCATTAACCATCAAAATTGCATAAACACTAAGTCCCCAACATTCCATATACAAATGCCTTTTGTTTTGTTTATATCTCTTGATTTGGTAGGAAGATATTTGAATTGAGACTTATGTTTAAACATTTCTCCCTAACTGCAAACTCGTCTCTGTAGGCTTTTCAATCTGGCCGTGGATCCTTTGCAACCAGAGCAAGAATACTATTTACAGCCTGCAGTTCATGGTAGATCCAGAACTGCCTCATCAATATGTCCAGTCGGTTTTTCTTTTGGGGGAGACCATTTGTGGGACAGGTTCAGTGTAAGTCCCGTGGATATTCTGTTTAACTTAATTGTAGGATATTCTCATTTGACATTTTATCATCTGATTGTACTCAATCCTTTCATTTGTTATACATTTTTATTGAAATAGAGAAAAATGAGAGGCATATGGTGAAAACCGTGTATCTGAATAGCAATATGGAAATTCTATTATTCTATTATATCGGAAATTACACAATTAAAAGTATTAATTACAAAAGAAATATGATACATAATATTCTATTATAAGAAACTTATATAGTACGCCAGAATATGATACATAATATTCCTATTACTGTTTATTATTTATTTAAATATCAACAATTTTCATTTTCTTTTTTCTTTTGTCCAAGAGATTGTTGCAATGTAACCTTGATCATGCTTCGGAAGCTATTTTATTATCAGATATATTTCTAAATTTGTTGTGTACAAACCATTTAAGAGTATTCATTCAGTAGTCTAAGCATTTGAGAGAGCTGTTCATGGAGATATTGTCACGGTGGAGCCTCAGTGATCTGTGTATAATTGACACCTAGTGGAAAAAGACTTCTGCTGTAATAATCTTCATGTTTAAAAACTCCATTATATAAAGATTCATTGATCTTCAAGATTACTTTGCTATCAAGAAGTATTCTTGTATTACGTTTTATTAGCTAGCTACTTAAATTTTAGTATTTTAATATTTCTCTTTTTGTGCTATTGAACAGGTTTTTGTTGCATTCAGTGACGGGTCTATCTATGTAATTTGCCCTGTTGTTCCATTTGGAAGGTATTTCACTGATCTCATTTTACCTATCTGCATTCTTCTTTGGTATTGTTAATATGGCATGGTCCATGGATTTTTATAGAAGATTGGGTTTATGTTACATGCAGTTATTTTCTTCCAATTGATCAAATGCTACTCATTGATACTTCCACATTTGTGACTATTTTCTCTGCTTCTTCAGTCTATTCAAATGTGAATCTTTATTAGACATATACAATGACGCACATACATTTGGGCTAATGTCAGCCAACTCTGTGGCGGCTAGTAATTCAAAGTTGGCAATCTCCTGGCTAGAAGCAACATTTCCTGAGTTACAGAACCAAGAAAATGAAGGAGACAGCTTATCTTTGCTAAGATCTCATGCTTATTTAGTATTTGACGCATCTCTCGTCTTGCAGGTATACTTATATTCCAATTTAGACTCTTGTCAGCTGCATCATAACTAGATGAACAATTTCATTTTGACAGTATGTAGATGCAATGTCTAAGTAGTATGACTGTACTTTATGCTTTTGTTTTCTAGGGACCTTTGCAAAGAGTAGGTCAGAGTGGAAACGGAGATTCAGTTGGTCGCAGTGCTGAATGTGAGGGTCGTGCAGTTAGTTTTCTCTACAATTTAGTTAGCAAAGACTCTATCTTGGTGACTGCCTGGAGTGGGGGGCAATTACAGATAGATGCTCTAGCTGATGAGATCCAACCTGTCTGGAGTATTGGTAGTCCACCTCGTCTTCGTCTTGACTCCCATGACGAAATACTTGGCCTTGCTATGATTTGTGAGTCAACTGCCAGCAGTCCCCCAGAGAAGCTTGATCATAATAATGCCTGGTTGGGTCATCCATCCCCTCTGCTGAGACTGGCTATTGTTGATTTGGCTCTGCCACGAAGAGCAGAAAGGGGTTATAATATTTCATTGTTCATTGATACCCTTATGCCAGAGAGAATATATTCCCTTCACGATGGAGGGATTGACTCAATAGTGTTGCATTGTCTTCCATTTACAAGTCAGGCAAATGGAAAGGATGATACAATGAGGACACCTTCTGTACATCCTGTTCTAAATACATGCCAGAATGGATCCACTTCAGAGCCTTCACTTTGTGGTTTTGTGTCATTGTCTGATTCTTTTGGATATTCTTGGAGTGTGGCTGTTACTCTTTCTCAAGAATGTGTTGTGCTTGAGATGAAAACTTGGAACCTTTTGCCTCAATTAAGCATTGATATGGAGAAGAAGCACATTCAATCAGTGGGGCAATCAAATGAGAGAGATATTCAACCAATAATTAGCAAAGAACTGCTTAGTGGGCCTAAGGAGGTACTTGTTCCTTGGGCCTCTCAAAGTCTACGCTCAGTTGCAGCTGATTCAATTGAAGGCCGATCAACATTGCATCAGTATTTCAAACTATTTCATGAGACTTATGTGGAATATGCTCATAAGGTATGGCTAGCATATCATCTCAACTTTTTCTGTTAGTTGAGCAATGCTTCCTCATTCCGACCTGGCATATTTGTTTTTCATGAAGTCACCGTCTTATTTTTTTTTTCTTTTGCATGAATATGCTCCTAGTTTTATTTCAATTTTCAAATTTTTTTTTCTCTAGTAAGATTTGGCCTAAGCTGAAGTAATAATCTTGGGCGAAAAGAGTCATTAATATCTGTAGTCTGTACAGAAAGCTTATTGTAGTTTACAAAATTGACCATAATCTTTTTCAAATGAGGAAAAGTTAATGACAATTTTTGTGGATGAGTGATTACACATTACAAGACGTAACTAGAAATACATGCTTTGGAGAGAAAAGTGGGGTAGATCCATATGTACAAAAAATGGTAGTATATCGTTTTAGTTGGTTTGGACATGTGTGAAGACTTGTAGAAGCACAATAAGGAGGGTTGACTAGATGAAGAATAGTCCAATAGTTAGAGGTTGAGCGAGACCAAAGAAAACTACAAACTAAACCACCAGTTATATAGAGGTAAATAGGCTATATCTTTAGACTCAATACATAGTGGGAGTTTATAGCATCGATCGGCACTTGAATGAAGAAAAACATTATTAATGAGAAAAATGTTATTGATAATCACTTGTGCAGTATCTTTGAATGAAGATGTGTATCATTGACAAACTTTGTGAATTAGGCAGTTCATTAAAAGTTATTCCATCAGTTCTAGATCTAAATTATGTTTTAAAATCACAAGCATAATTTGAATAAAGTTATGCCTTTTGAAAATAACAGCTGGCTCTCGTTCATTGCATATTTTCTCCTACTAGGTGCACCTGGAACTCAAGCATCATGCACCTCAGTTGAAGAAAATCATTAATGACCAACGTTCTCGATTAGGTGATGCACAGCAGAAACTTTTGAAAGTTGAAGATAAAGAGTGTATATTACAGAAAAGAGTTGATCGTGCAATTCAAATGCACAATTCTTTGGAAGAGCGCTTACAACGCTTAAGGAACTTACCTGGTGCTCACAAAAAACCATTGTCTAGAGCAGAGCGACAGTTTAAGTCTGAACTTGGTAATGGATGCTTGATCCCTTACTCTAGTAATGTCTGACTGTTCATAAAAAATTTTAATACTTTTTTTTTTAAAAACAAAAGCTTTTATCATTTACTACTGATTTGCAGTTCACATGTCTTTCACCCAGATTTTGATAAGTCCAGTCTCTCCTTTTCCAAATTGTAATCTCTATCTGCTGAAAGATTTTCAGTACTTAATCACGCCCTTATTTTTTCTAGATCACTTCAAGGAAGTTGAGTTGGATGCTTTGCATTCTTCTGTTGAAGCGGTAAGTGCTAGACTGAGAAGGCACATGCAAGCTTCGAAAGCTAGTCAACAGAAGAAAATATCAGGGAAGAAAGTTTGTGCCGGAGATGATCAGATATCAATACTCAAATCATCACTTGAAAAGCTTTCACTTGTAAATACTGAAAATTCGAAGAAAGTTAAGATTGTTGAATCCACATTGAGTAACAAAGAAAGAAACCGTGGAGAATCAAGTCTGCCTATGCTTAAAAACTGTTAGTAGTTTACTCTATGGCACTGTGTGGTTCTGAGTTAAGCTTTCCTTTTTGTAGTCTTGCCATTTTTGTCACCCATTGTCCCTTGCCAAAATTTGAACGCTTCACTGAAAGAGATGTTAGAAGTACAGTTAACATTTATTTAATTTATAAACTGTGTAAATGACAAGGAAAAAGTAGTTGCAAAATTTGTGTGTTGTATTATTAATTGTCAGCAGAAGACAAGAAATTCTACGATGATGTGGTAATTATTTTTTAGATCTTGTTAACTTTGTGGAAATTTCAAACGGGTCTTATTAAAACCCAACCGGTTGTTGTATGTATGTGATTGGGGTGCAGGGCAGTAGCCTCGGCGGTACAGTTCTGGGGTATTATTGTACCCTGAGCTGTAATAATGTATATTTTGTCATATTGTAATTCTAGTTATTAGACAAAAATCAAGGAAATTATAACTCTTTTATAGTTTTAGAGATAGGTATCACTCATCGCATTGCGTTAATAAATATTGATTGTGTACATTATCTATTTTTATTTTTCTTTCATTTTCTATGTTGTTTTAAGAATTGGTATTAGATAAAAATTATTGCTAGTGCAAAATTTGAGGTAACAGTTTGTAGGACGAGTGATTTTGAAATAAGGTAAGAGAGTTAAGGATAAGATGAAATAGATTGACATACAAGATACTTATTAGGTAAAGATGAAAAAGAAGGTTGCAAAATTGATTCATCTATGTGTTTTAGACAAAGTGATGTATCTTATCTTATATCTAAGGACACTAAAGGAGGTTTAAGACAAATTTGAGTTACTCTATGTTAAAGATGTCGATGAAGAAATTGTTCGCGAAACAATGACTATACAATTTAAAGATACATGAAGGATTCAATTTCAAGATTGTTAGTGGAACAAGGGTAAAACATGTTCAGGCAATTTTTGATTTGTTTATCTAGATGATGATAAATAATGTACTATCACTGGAATGAGACAAATTAAAATTGTCACGAACAATGATGGCGTGCGAACATTAAACGATGTTAAATATATTTTAAAATTGAGGAAGAAATTGATTTCCCTAAGTACTCTGCAAGCAAATAGTTTCTCCTACAAATCAAAGAGAGATATATACATTATGAAGGTTAATAAAGTATCTTAGCTATGATAGGAGCAAGGAGAACTGCAGGTAACATCTACAAACTCTTAGTGAACATTGTTGTAGGCGATGATGAAATTTCATAAGAGAAATCTATTGAAGGGTGTTCGTAGCAAGATGGATTTGTGCAAGTGTTGTATACTTCAAAAATAACGACATGTTCGATTCAAGATCAGAAAGCACAAAGCAAAGAAATTATTAGGTTGTACATTCGGATGTGTGGTGGCCTATCAAAGAGGTTTCCATGTGTGGTTTTAAGTATTTTGTGACTTTCACAGATGATTTTTCTCACAAGGTTTAAGTGCATTTCTTGAAGCAAAAATATGAAATTTTTACTAAATTCAAGTTGTGGAAGACAGAGGTAGAAACTCAAACAGGCATAAAAATCAAGTATTTGCGATCAAATAATAGAGTAGAATGATCTGAGTTTCAAGAGGTTATGTAAAGAACACAATATTCGTAAGACACCACAACAAAATGGTGTGTTAGAGAGAATGAATAGGTCTGTAACTAAAAGGGCAAGATGTCTCTTGTTAAAATTTGGCATATCAAAGATTTATGGCCGGAGGCAGTTAGCATGACATGTTATTTTTCCAATAGGTCACGACGAACTTCATTGGAGGGGAATGTTATAGAAGAGGCATGGACAGGTAATAATATTAATCTTAACAATTTAAGGACTTTTAGGTGTCCAGCTTTTTCAAACGATAGAATTCGATCTAAAGGGGGTGAATAGATCACAAATTTAAAAATAAACTTTTGGAAAAAAAAAATAGTTTTCAAAAGTTGTATGGCAGAGTGAAATTAACCCGAATCGAATCGTTTAACCGAACCTACTATCGAAAAGTTCAAATATGTGTAAAGTTCACAATAGAATGATAACGAACACAAATTATTCAACAACGTTTAATCACAAATAATTAAATGCTAAGCTACACGTAGATGTTATTTCCAATGATAAAAAACCAAATAAAACACAAAAGACAATTTATCGAACACCTTGTGTGCAATCGATAACGTTTGAAAATTTATTTTCTTTTGTTGATGTTAAAGCTAATCACAATCAAAGTGATTATGATTATATCAACAAACCTTAATTCAAAATGTAATCAAAAATTGATTTCCAAATAAAATTGATCAAACGACAACAAATTCGATAATTTGCAAATACAGAAACTAAAGAGGTAGAGAGAGACAAAAGAATTTGTTTAGGAAGTTCCTTATTCGACCTCGATATGGATACGTCTTCCATCAATTCGAATTGAGATAATTGCAATTAACCTTACTTTGCAAAAAGTGTATATATAAGAGATGAAGAACTCTAACCCTATAAACCTTATGGTTTGTTGTTGAATCTACCACCTCTAAAACCCTTGATCAAGTCACCAACAATTCTGCTTCAATCCACCAGTTTTTGTTACTACCTTGCAAGACCTACTCGTCTTAAGGTTTTCACTCGGTCAAATTAATCTCAAGCACACACCTGTTGAACTCGAGATTTATGAACACGATCCACCGTCTCACGCTACTTCTTTGAAAGGAACCACCTTGTCCAAATACCTTCACCCAATCGGATCCGAATTACGCAATCTTGTCCAAAACCTTCAAATCCTCAATGATCTTGAAGGAAAATCCCATCTCGATTTTCTTATTTGAAACACTCAAAGAACTCAATCCAATATTCTCGGTACAACAACCTAATTGGACTTTATCTACCATAATCTAGATGGTCACCCAATAAAAAAATAATTATGTATAGTCTAATTGTGTGTATGCATAGAAGAGAGGTTGAAGATGATGAGTATGTTTTGAAATTCTGGTTTCGTATAGGTTTTACACTAGAACTTTACTTGAAAAAGATGCATATATATATATATATATATATATATATATATATATATATATATATATATATATATATATATATATATATATATATATATATATATATATATATATATATATATATATATATATATATATATATATATATATATATATATATATATATATATATATATATATATATATATATATATATATATATATATATATATATATATATATATATATATATATATATATATATATATATATATATATATATATATATATATATGTATGTATGAGAGATATGAAGCAATGAAATGCAAATGAATGGAGGAAAATGTGAATTTTTGAAAGAAAGACTCGTGTGTGTCGACCTATGAAAGTAATGTCTACCTATCAAAGCAGTCAGTCGGCTTGTGAAGGTCTTAGGTTGAACTATGAAGGTCTTGTGTTGACCTTGTGTCGACCTATGTGAGTCAGCCTAAGAACAGTGGCATCAAGAATTATTATTGATGCATAACGGTCGACCTATGCTGAATGGGCAACTTCTATAGGTCGACCTACACGCGTATGTGTCGACCAATCCTGTAGTGTTTTCACAAAAACTTGTTTTCAATGCATTTTTCACAAAAAGCTTGTTTTCAATGCATGTATGATGTATAATCATTTTTCAAACCACTTTAATGCTTGCTCATCTAGAATCAGAGGATACCGTCCAATATACATTAACGATACACTATCCTAGTTTTGACATCATTCAAAATACACCTAAGGAAAGTAGCACTCATAAGCTTATGTGCATATATCTAGTAAAGGTTGATCCAAATTTGATCCGATGTTGATGAAATATGTCTTCATTGGTTACAAAAAAGGTGCGAAGGATTCCAGTTATGAGATCCAATTAAAAATATGGTAATAAACAAATATGTTATTTTTATGAGCAATTAATGTTAAAGCAGTCAGTTGGAATAGGTGTGTTAACATGTGAAGGAGAAACTTTCAGCAACCAAATGATTCAAGTGAATGTTGATTTGTCACCAGTGAACAATATATTGGGAGTGCACAAAAGACAAAAGAAACTAGACTTTAATATTGAAATTGACCAATGACTTGAAGTTTTAGGTGAAACATATGATTATATTCTTGTACGTGAAAGAGATTATAGTTCAACTAAGCCACCATAAAAATGTAAGTATGAAAATTTGGAAACCTATGCACTTCTTACTAGTTGTGGAGACCCTTCTACCTTTCGAGAGGCCACAACTATCTATGAGAAAGATAAGTGGATGGATGTAATGGTGGAGGGAGATGGAGTCTTGAATAAAAATTAGACTTGTGAGCTTGTTCAGCTTCCTAAGGGGAAAAAGGCCATCGGTTGTAAGTGGGTGTCCAAGATAAAACTAACAGTAGTAAAACAAGAAGGAAAAAAGTTTTAGGTTTTTCTTGTAGCAAAGGGGCACTCACAATAGAATGGGATTGCCTATGTGTCACACCCTAATTTTAAACCCTAACATCCCACCTCATTTGCATCATTTTGCATAGTATACATAATCCTGTGTGTGTGTTTTATGTGTTCACTAACCCCTCTTAAATTCAAGAGTATGTGCTTCATTTGTGTTTTGATCACAAGTTAGGGTTTTTGCTTTCAAAAAGCTCAAGGTTTGACTAGTCAAAGGATCATGAAGACCCTCAATCTCAATCTTAATTAATTCAACATTGATCGAGGGTCTTCTCTCACTCACACTCAAGTGCAAATCTTCATTTAATCAAGATCAACAGGCCCCAAGTCATCATATGCACCCAAATTAGAGTTTTGACCTAATTCAGTCCCTGTGTTGACTTTTGAAGCAAGACATGATCCAACACCTCAAACATGTTTCAAGGACCTCAAATGTATCATATTGATCCATTCCTATGATTTGATTGATCCAAGGAGTTTGATTCATGTGCAATGGAAGAATTCAAGATCATCAGATGAAAAGTCAACTGTGAACAAAGTTTGACTTTTGAGGTTTTTGGTCAAACATG